ACTCAAAAAATTCTTCATATTCTCAAAGTGTTGTTCTTGTGGAGTAAGATCGGGAGCCTCTATGAACTCATCGTAAAGATAAGAGGAAGCCGCTGCACTGCCAAACGGATTGGCCGATGAAGGGGCATAGGAAACGGGCATTTTTATTCAATGAAGACTCGAAAAAAAAAATCTTTCTTCGGAGTCGACTCGAGACTCATCATCTATAAGGAGGATGATGATGAGAAGAATTTTTAAAAAAGGAAACCAGGCTCAAGATAATAGGATTTGAATTTTAAATGTATTTAAAAAATTTAATTGAAATTAAAAAATTGCCCTAACCGCATTAAATTCATTCATACATACGCTAACACTCGGAATTGTTCTGTGATCTTGTGGTTGAGATAAAGTCCGAACCAGCAATGACACCAAGATGATGATGATACAACATCGGAATTACAACAAAAGGCTCGTCTCTTTGGTCCTACGAGTTAGTATCTATACCATCCTATTCGTCGTGAATGCACTCCTTCTCGTGTATCCAACCTGGTATTTCGTGGATTTCCTTTCTTCCAAAATTTCCATTTCCCAATCCATCGTCTCGCATGGACAAAAGATTAGAGATTTAGAATACAAGCCACCCACACCATTACCATCCAATGTGGATCAACATTACTTTAAGATACCAGACCCTTTTAGAAATCATTTTCAGAATGTGAACGTTACAATACCTTGTGAATCATCCATGATGCTTTTTTCATTCAGTGCCAATGCTTCGATGGATGTTTTAATTTTCAGACGATTTGAAATGTTTGAGGCATATATGAATTTGTCAAGTCCAAGTCACTTGCTGTATTTGAATGACACCACATTGTCTCTGTTAAGAGAATATCCATTGGACAGGAGTACCATCATGATATCTGACAATTCATTTGCGAGTCGTTTCTTTTCAACAAAAGTTCATAACAGCAACACTTCTATGGTCAATAATGACACTGAAACATGCAACCATGGAAGTTTTGAAATTTATCTCGTATTTAGAAAATTAATAACTCAGCAAGAATATATTTCTATTGATTTTTGGTATTGGTTAGAGTATCAAGACAATCGAGGATTTCTTAAATTTAACGTGACAATACTATGCATATTCTTCATGATAATCTTTAACACTATTTATTTATTGAATGTCAAATCATTTTTACAATTTTTAATGCCTGCTTTATTTAGAGGAGAGACGAATACTATCAGCACATTCTCTGAACGGCTAAAACGATTTTTACCACTCGAGACATGTCTGTGCTGTGGTTGTTGTTCACAACATTTAAGAAAACCACAGAGTCAAGTGCGAAATTTCTACGATCGTATGCATTCCATTTCAAGCAGTTCAGTGAATGATGATGAAGACTCTCTCAACAAACTTTCTCCAAGAGCAGAAACCATTTCATTTCGTGACTTGGCTTTTACTTCCTTCACAGGTAAGGAAATATTACATCCCATTAGTGGTGATATTACTCCTGGACGTCTTACTGCCATTGTGGGAAAGAGTGGTAGTGGCAAGTCCACATTTATCAATACTCTCTGTCGAAGAGCGAGTCATGGATTGCAGAGTGGAAAGGTTTTTGTTTCCAATAAGGAAATTACTCGAGAGACATCTAAAATGATTGGATTTGTACCTCAAGATGACATTATTGCCAGTAATATCACTGTGAGAGAAGCTCTCGAGTTTAGTTTACGTTATCGAAAACGCAGACAATTTTCTCCACAACACATTATTGATACTCTCGGAAAGTTGGGACTTCTTCATGTGCAGCATTCATTGGTTTCTGAAATTAGTGGAGGTGAGAGAAGAAGAACATCGATTGGCATTGAAATTGTCAATGATACTCCAATACTCATATGTAAGTTGTAACACCTTGGTGATGGCAATCCAAAGTTTGTGTGTGAAATTTTTAACTCGACATTTGTTTAACAATTTTTTACCTCAACTCGACATTTGCTAAATTAAAACACTTTCTTACACAACACACAGTGGATGAACCGACCTCTGGATTAGACTCAGAGACATCTCTCAGTCTTGCTCTCACTCTTCGATCATTGGCAGAAGACAACCACTTGACCATTATTTGCGTGATTCATCAGCCCTCTGCCGAAGTCTTTCAACAATTTCACAACATGATACTCTTTTCAGATGGGCAATTGCTACTGCATGCTCCAGTGGATTGTGTCATTGAAACACTGAAAGAGAAAATTCCTGCACATGAGATTCGATTAAATCCAGCAGATGAAATTTTGAGAACCTTAATTGAACCTATTAAGGGAACTCCTATCCTTAGAGCTATTCAGAAAAAACAAGAAGAGAAAAATCACACCTGTTGTGGAATTTGCTACTACAAGTAATACCAGCACTAGTTCCAATTCTGAATTCTCTCACGACTCATACCAGGATACTCCTATTGGTGACTTTTCAACTGCTCCTTTTTGGGCTCAGTTTGCAGCGTGTGTGGATCGTTCGTTACGACAATTTTTTCGAAATTGGCGTTTGTTACTGCTCGATATTCTTATTTGCCTTGGAATTGGAGGATTGATTGGAGCCATTTTTAACAATCTTGAATTTAAAGGATCGGTCAGTGAGGAAATTTTCAAGCAATGTCCTTTAATTCTCAGAGGATTTTCAATGCTTCCTGTTTCGGACAAGATTGCACCGTTTGTGACTTTTGTGGAATTGGCACTTGCAATGGTTGCCATTATGAGAGCATTGAGAGTATTTGGTCATGATATGGAAAACTTTAAACGAGAGTCTTTCTCAGGTCTCAATTCATGGATGTTCTTTGCAGCAAAGGATTTGATAAGTTTAATACCGATCATATTCATCTCCTTGGCATTCACAACTGGTCTATTTATTGCTCGTCCTCAAGCAAGCTTTGGAATTTACTATCTCACTTCGATCTTGACTATTTTGACTTCGTTTCCAATAGGATACATGATTTCATTCTTTTGTTCTCCTCATACTGCTCAATTAGCCGCAACGTTGGTCGTACTTTTGTTGTATGCTGTCTCTGGAAATCAACCAACTCTTCCTGAGATTGAACGACTGCCATTTCCATTTTCATATTTTCATATTTTCACTTATTTGAGATTTGTGAAGGGACTTTTGTATATGGTTGAAATTGAAACGAGAGGACAAACAGAACATATTGATTCTGCTTTATTTATCAATGGATATGAAACTGAATCTGTTGCTTATTATTGGTATGCCATGATCTTTTGGTGTATCCTCTTTCGTGTGTGTGCTGTATTTTTAATGTGGCAATTGAAACCTCATTCATTACTGCATCGAGTGATCACACTGAGCAAAATTCTTGGAGGAAAGATTGTACAAAAGTTAAAAGTGCAGCAACTGAAATGAGAGATGATATTATTTCATCCTCATCAGCTGCTACGATGAGTGATCGAAGAGTATAATGGTAGATTTCTCTAAAACATGTGTTTGGTGACTTTTGGAAAAGCTCATCCTTACGGTTTTGAATCTCAATGCCAAATAATTTGCTTTCCTGACAATTTAACAAACTTCACACCCTCTGTTAGTGAATGAAAATTCTCTTGGGGCAATCTTAAAGTATGCAAACTTGAGCTACGAGCTAAAATTTTCAAGAGATCACTCGTGATGGTTACTGTCTCTGAGGCAAAGTCTAACAACAAATCTTTGAGATTATCTGCTCTTGCAATTAGCTCTGCTGAGTAGTATGAAATGGGTGAGCCAATGATGGATAAATGTTCCAAACTTGATTGAGGTAAATATTCAAAAGGGAGATCTGATAATTTGCTAAATCCATCAATGTGTAGGCTTTTGCATGTTTTGAGATTCCTGAAAATATGAATGAGAGCATCATTACCGATTTTACCTGATAGTTTCAGTCTCACAAGAGCTGGATGGCATGCCAACAATCTATATCCATAGTTTGTAATTTGTTTGTTTGAGTTAACATGTAGAACCTCTACCGTTGTGTTTTCTTGAACAAAAAATCGAATACTGTCATCGGTTAAATCATTGTAACTCACATTCAGGTTTCTTAGAGATTTCAGTCTTGCCAAGTGCATGAATCCAACATCTGTTAAATAACATCTACGCATGGAAAGAAAGTGGAGCTGCTTAAAATTCTTTGAAATGACTTCAGCAATACTATCTCCACTCGTATTGAAATTTCCACAAGTTAGTGACACATCCAAAGCTTGTAAGTTACTGGAAATGTTGAATATTGATGAATCAATAATTGCAGGTTTGAGATGACGTATGGATAAACTGATAAAGTTTGTTTGTTGCAACAGTTCCATGATGGTCTCAGGAGACACGGTTGATTGCAATGAGGAGATGCTCAAAAATTTAATATTTCTTCCATAGCGAGCTATTTGTGTAATTTCATTGTCTCCTAGTTTGTTGTATGATAAGGTTAAATCCGTCAAATTATTATTACATGCTAGGGCCGATAGATTTGTCTCTGCAATTTCTACATTTTCCATTAAATTTAATATTCTTAATTTACTATTACTGATTAATAACTCCAATCCTGTGCTGCTGACACCATGTTGAGGAAGCTGTAATTCAGTAATACCACTGTGCTCACATGATAAATGCTCACAGAAAGTGTCATCCACATGTTCAATTCCAATATTTCCAAGTTTCAGACGTTGCAACTGTGGCCTTTGTTCCATCAAAAGTCTCAATCCACTCATGGAGATTGAAAATGCTCCTCTTATATGCAGAGATTTCAGATTTTCAGTATGTGCAAAACATTTGAGAGCTTCATCTTCAAGTAAATGACTGTAAATATCCAGAGATTCTAAATTTTTCATACCATGAAAAGGATACAAGCAGGATTGAGGAAAATGATGTGTACTCGAGCGAGGACGTCTATCAGCCAAAGTAAGATTTTTCACATACTTCAAAGGAAAGAAGTACTTGTATGACAAATCATTGTCGTAAATCTCCAATTCAATGCTCGGAAAGAGTAAAAAAACAATTCTTTGTGGATGGGTCTTTCTCACTCCAAATAAGTTTGAAATTTGATTCGAATTAAATTCTCGCAAGATGTATGAGTGTTCCATATAGATGGTTACAAATTCCAAGATATGAATGATTAATTCCAAATCAAGCCTAGAATATAATGTATCGTACGATGGCGATCGTCCACCTGTAGGTGTTGAATTCTTCTTGATCTTATGTTCCGATCCATCCATTGATTGATTTTTGATCTTTTTCAAGTATGGTTGAAGATTATCTTGTTCCAAATCGGAGTCATAAATACCACCACTACCACCACCACTACCACCACGAATACCTTGAACACCCAAAAGATTCAAACAAGTAGCGTTGGTGGTGGAGGCATGGCTGGCCGTTGATGAGTCGTTTACTTGAAGAAAACCTCTTTTCATTTTTTTTTTTTTTTTT